GGCATGCACCTTGTGGTTGAGCAGGACTGAGCAGCCAGGTTCCAGCAGATCCTTGTCTACAAATGACAGAATGCTGACGTAGTGTTCTGAGCCCACAGATGTAGACACGATAGCATGATTGTCATCGATGATCTCTTCCAAGGTTCCTACTGACATCGGGGTGCCCCTCAGATCATCCACTTTTGATCTTTCCTCCTCTTGCTTTTCTTCTAATGGTTTCATTTGTTCCTGATTTCTAATGAATTCTTCCTCCATGAGAAGGTAGTCTTTAATTCTCTCTAATTTCAGTAATTTTAGCCGGCACTGAGTGTGAGGTGTCACCAGTGGCAATTTGCTGGCAGCATCTGGTCCCTTTGTTTTCTTCTTCTTTTTCCCCACTCTAGTTGGTACAGGAGGTTCATATTTCTTTTTCTTGTCCTTGTCATCCTTCTTGCCACCTCCAGGACCATGACCACCACTCTGACTTTGACCCATCTTGCCTTGGCCACTGGAGCTGCCGCTGCCGGTTAAGCGTCTGCTCTTAAAACATCTACTCATGTTTCATCGTCCAAAGCAAGTCACATAGCTGAGCTCAATGTCAAGGGGCAGAACATACACTCTGCACTCTATGAAGACATGACAAGAATGTGGATGTCAAATTCTACTGCAAAGGAGTAAAGATTTGGTTGCATAATTCTATCATATTTAATCTACCTTAGTGATTTCATTTTATGGATCTAGTAGAATCCAAAGCCAACACTGAACAGAGATAGCACAAAAAGTTTAAAAAAAATTATAGATAAACCTAATTTGTAAATTAAAATGTGAAAAAAATATTTTTTAAAATTAGTACATTAAAATCCATGATGGTATTCAGAAAATCTTTTGCAACGAAGTATAATTAATGACAGGATTTTAAGGATTTCTTATAAGTAAGAAACACAATAACGTAATACATCATATCAGAAAGACCAATAACAAAAGCAAGAGATAACCTCAATGAATACAAAAAAGACAAGAATAAAAAGTAACACTCATCACTAATTTTTAAAACCTGTTTAAAAATCAGGAAGAGGAAAATATTCATTAACATAATAAAGCATACTTATATTAAAAGAACAATAGCATTACGGGGATACAATAGAGGCATTCTCTGGAAAATCAAGACCAAAACAAGCATGACTACTTCCATTTTTTTTCAACACTGTTGTTCTCAATGCATTAAAAGATGTAAACATAGATAAGAGGTCTAAGTATTAGACGGGAAAAGATGAAATCATTATCCTTTACAGATGGTACAATTATATACCTAGAAAACATAAAAATATTAACTGAAGAATTCTTAGGATAATGAGTAGTCAAATGCAAGATAAATATTTGAAAATCAATAGTTTTTATCTCCTGGCAATAACTAGTTATAAGATATAACAGGAAATAGATTTTATTTACAATTGCAATAAAAACATAAAATATTTAGCAGTGACCGTTCAAAAAAAGCATAGAAATTTTATGTGAAGAATGCTCCAAACCTTTTATAGAGATATACAGGACTAAAAAAAAATGAAAACGTATACCATGCTCAAGAATAGGAAGGTGAAATATTGTGACTAAACGAATGCTTCCCAAATTAGTTAGTAGGTTTAATACAGTTCCATTCAAAAGATAAAATGGGATGGACCAATTCGATTAAGTATTCTGAAGTTCATCCGGAGGAATAGAATGTTGAGCTATTGAAAAGAGAGGTCAGGAGGGGACACTAGACCCATCCAATAATAAAACTTATTGCACAGTAATGCAGTAATTTAAAAAGAATATCACTTTCACAGACAACTCAGTGGAACATGATAAATAGCCTGGAAACAGACTTCAGTTGTAAGGACTCACAAATAAGATGTTTCATTAATGGGTAGTTTCCATTAACATTTAAGTTGCATTTGGTTACATGTAACGGAAAGCTGGCTGCTGGTGTTTACAGTATTGTTTCTCTTGTGAAACAAGCTAGGCAAGACTGGGCAGTTCAAGATTATATAGCTACTCTGAGATTTGAGCTTCTTCCTTTCTCTTCCACCATGCTTGGTGTGTGCTTCCATCTGGGGCTGCAAAAATGGCTGCTCCATCTTGAGACATCCCATCCACATTATAGACATATGAAGAAGGAGGGAATGGAGGGAGTGAGGAAGGGAGAGGGGCAGGGAGGGAGAAAGGAAGGAAGGAGGAATGGTGTCTATATCTAGAAGTAGAACTATTTCCCGTAAGTCCTCAGAAGATAGGCACTTAAATCTCTTCCCCAGAATTGAGTCAACTACCACCCCAATGGTAAGGGAAGCTGGGAAATTTTTTTAGTAGATGGGGTCTCTCTCTATTGCCCAGGCTGGATTGCAGTGGTGTGATCGTAGATAACTGTACCCTTGACCTCCTGGGCTCAAGAGATCCTCCCACCTCAGCCCCCAGAGTAGCTGGGACCACAGGCACCCGCCACCATGCTCAACTAATTTTTAAATTTTCTGTAGAAGCAGAGGTCTTTCTTGTTGCGCAGGCTGATCTTGAACTCTTACCTCAAGCAATCCTCCTGCCTCAGCCTCCCAAAGTGCTGGGATTATAGGGCATGAGCCACCTCATTCAGTTGGAAAAATACTTTTTAAAAAATAGGTGGGCACAATCCTTCCCCAAACAAAATTAAGATTCTGTTAGTAAGAAAGATTAATTATTCTAGGAAACCAGCAATATCTGCCAACAGAAAACATCCCAATCACCATGAGGAAGAAGGGTGAGAAGGGAAGAAGCAGCTATTTGACTAATGAAGTTAGAGAAGGTGGCTAAAATGTGGCTAACTTAAGTTAAAAGTGACTAACTTAAGTTAAATGTTCATCCATACCAAATGCAAATATAATGTCCATAGGATTTACAGAATGAAAAGTTAAGTCAGAAAACTAGAGGAATGTATATACAAATAAAGAGCATATTTAACTCCATCAAAGTGAGGACTTTCCAGGCACCTCAGCTGTCAAGTAAGTATCAAGGAACACACTGATAAATGTCATTCAATTCAAATAATTGAATTCTATAAGTTAAAAATCCCATTGTCAGAATTGAAAGGCAAGTGACAAACTAAGCAAAGAATCAGAAAAGGTTACTGTCCTTATTATCAATCAATCTATATCAATAAGGGATCTATATCAATAAGGGAAAAATCAAGAACCCAGTAAAAAATGTTGGCAAAGGAGGCGACAGTTTCCGATGAGGAGACCTGGTTTGTAAAAACATATGAAAAAGTGTGCTACTTGGAAATACTGATTACAGTTCAAAACATCCCAAGCAGTTACTTTTTCTAATAAAAAATATAATTTATACTCCCAGAAACCTGGAAAATCCAGAATTGTATGAAGATGAATGCAAAAATCACTGTGCTTCAACAACTGAGTGGTAATAGCTTTTGTTATATGTCCTTCCACTCCTTTTTTTAATTTCATGAATACCTTTAATTAGTTCATTTTTCTCAATTGTCTCTCCTCTTTTTTTATTTATTATACTTTAAGTTCTGGGGTACACATGCAGATCGTGCAGGCTTGTCACATAGGTATACACGTGCTGTGGTGGTGGTTTGCTGCATCCATCACCGTGTCATCTACATTAGCTATTTCTCCTAATACTATCCCTCCCCAATTCCCCCACCCCTGCCCTCCCTCCCCTAGACCCCCTGCACTCCAACGGGTTCCGGTGTGTGATGTTCCCTTCCCTGTGTCCATGTGTTCCCATTGTTCAACACCCACTTACGAGTGAGAACATGCGGTGTGTGGTTTTCTGTTCTTGAGTCAGTTTGCTGAGAATGATGGTTTCCAGTTTCATCCATGTCCCCGCAAAGGACATGAACTCATCTTTTTCTTTATGGCTGCATAGTATTCCATGGTGTATATGTGCCAGATTTTCTTTACCCAGTCTATCATTGATGGGCATTTGGGTTGGTTCCAAGTCTTTGCTATTGTGAACAGTGCCACAATAAACAGACGTGTGCAGGCATCTTTACAATAGAATGATTTATAATCCTTTGGGTATATACCCAGTAATGTGATTGCTGGGTCAAATGGTATTTCTATTTCTAGATCCTTGAGGAATTGCCACACTGTCTTCCACAATGGTTGAACTAATTTACACTCCCACCAACAGTGTAAATGCTTCTATTTCTCCACATCCTCTCCAGCATCTGTCGTCTCCTGATTTTTAAATGATTGCCATTCTAACTGGCATGACGTGGTATCTCAATGTGGTTTTGAGAAATGCAAATTGCCTCTCCTTCTGCAGATCATTTTTTTTTTCAATTAGCTCACCTTTTATTGTACTTCTGTTCATTATTCCTCTAGCAGGGCATATTGTGGCTCCCTCAATATCAACCTTCCACTGGGGGAAACAAGAAGGAGGTTAGGGCCAGGCACAGTGGCTCACACCTGTAATCCCAGAACTTTGGGAGGCCGAGGTGGGCGGATCACAAAGTCAGGAGATCAAGACCATCCTGGCCAACATGGTGAAACCCTGCCTCTACTAAAAATTCAAAAATTAGTTGGGCATGGTGGCGAGTGCCTATAGTCCCAGCTACTCCGGGAGGCTGAGAAGGAGAATCGTTTGAACCTGGGAGGCAGAGGTTGCAGTGAGCCAAGGTCGCGCCACTGCACTCCATTCTGGTGACAGAGCAAGACTCCATCTAAGAAAAAAAAAAAGGAAAAGGGTTAGATCTTGGGTAGCCATCTAGCAGCATTTTCCCCAGGACACAAACATAATACAGCTCTAATTTAACTGCAGAGGAGGCTATGACATGACATGGAGGAGCACACGGCATCCCATATGCACTTAATGTCATGACTACACAATTCTGCCTAAACTCAGCACTTTATGGGTTTTGTCTTATAGTTTTCATTGATGATGAATGGTACATAGTAAAAGTAAAACCCTTGCAAGTTTTGTTCCTACTGGACTTATACATACGGAAGTAATAATTATACATGTTGTACAAAACAAAAAATTTCACCACCCAACGGTGCTGGAAAGTGAACAGTTTCAGCTTTTTTGTTTGTTTTTTTCTCCAAATGGCTAGCTAATTCTCCCAACACCATTTGTTGAATACTTTTTTTTTTTTTTTTTTTTTTTTGAGATGGAGTCTCACTCAGGCTGGAGTGCAGTGGAGGGAACTTGGCTCACTGCAACCTTTGCCTCCCGGGTTCAAGCAATTCTCCTGTCTCAGCCTCCCAAGTAGCTGGCACTACAGGCGTGTGCCACCACACCTGGCTTATTTTGTATTTTTTTGTTAGCGGGGTGGTGTATGGGCTACAGGGATAGCGTGAATTCTGACAACCTGTGCAATCATCTGTTTATGGTTTGGGGTTCTCTGGGGAAACTTTTGTCAAGACATCAAGTATCCCTCATGCGAGGTGGGGTTGTTGTTGGTGGTGTTTCTTTGCTAATGCCCCTATTTTCTGAGGAATTTGTCTTTCAAGATAACAGATTCATGGGAGCTCTTGATCCAATTTCC